AAAACCTCCTGGTTAAACATGTTTCACTTGCTGCCTTTTCTCATCTGAATCTTGAGAGCTGGCCCCTTTAAGAAGGATAAGAAAAAAAATGGCAGTATGCTTTAAGATTTATTAATTCACATAAAATTAAAATGACAATGCTAGAGTCTCAAATTTTTATTCTTGAGGTGGACTTTTTATATTTTTGGATGTTCACTTCCACATTTTTTGTATTCTATATTTAACAGTCTCCAAAGATAGTCCTTGCTTTTTAAAGATGTTTTCAAAACTTTTCTATGTAGTAGTGTGTGTCTGCATACACGCACAGTCCGTCTGTAGGTATGGAAGGCATGGGTTCTCTCCCTTCATGTGGATACTGCATTGACTGGGATAGCAGGGTTTCACAGTAGGCACTTTACCTGCTGGGCCGTCTTGCTGGCTGGAAGGTGGTTGTTTTTATTTCAAATGATCTTTCCATTATTTCCATGAGGGATCATGGTAATGCAACCAAATTCTGAAGAACTGAGGAGTAAGAGAGAGTCTGGAGCTGTGCTAATTGCCACTGTTTTGCTGTTTTAAGACCAACTTTATTTTAATGGTTTGTGATGTATAACTAGTGGAGAATTATTATGCCATGTATTCTAAGAAAACTTAGCTCTAGGCAAAGTGTTTTTTTGCTTTTTCTAGTGTGACAGATTTGCTATTTTTAGTTTTTCATGAGGATTTTGGATATATATATATATCAGTGGTGTTCTTTTGTGGTACATAGTAATCTATGTACTTTTAGTGGTTAATGTTAAATTATTTAGATGGTCACAGAGTCTAGTGTTTGAAGATTTTATTTATTTATTTGGTTTTTCAAGACAGGGTTTCTCTGTATTGTTTTGAAGCCTGTCCTGGAACTTGCTCTGTAGATCAGGCTGGGCTCGAACTCACAGAGATCCACCTGCCTCTGCCTCCCGAGTGCTGGGATTAAAGGTGTGTGCCACCAACGCGTGGCCAAGATTTTATTTTTCATGTGCTTTTGGGAAGTAAAAATTTCAAGACATATTGTTGCCAAACTATTTTTATAAATACCTTCTTCTAGTCATAGGTAAGTAGTCAAGGTTGGGACATAGTAAAGATTGTTCTATATTCCAGTACTTTCTGCCACCCTGGAGCCAGTCTTTTTAGAGGCTATTTACCAGACTTTATCCTTTTGTGGGAGTAGGAAAGCATGTGAAATTAGTCTTCAGGCAGCAGATGGGTTATACAGTGAAGGAGCGGTAACACAAGGCATTGTATTAAAGTTTATAAGTTAGTCTTTCTTACCCAGTTTTATTTGCATAGGAAATATAATAGGTCCTCATTTTTATGTTAATATTAAAGTATATGAGACAGTGAAGTGGGAAGTTATCTGGGAAAACACCATATAAGTTTATATAATTGTTATGCTGTTGCCAAGTCAGCCGATTCCCATGCCACTGGTGACATGCTTTTCCTTGGCACACCAGTCACTAATTGCAGGTAATATTTAACTTTCTCCCAGTATTGCCTTATTGTGTTCTTCAACTCTGTTATTCATGTTCATCTTAATTACAGTTTTTCAATTGGCTTTAAATTCTATCTTTCTTTGCTTCAAAAAGATCTTAGTTTCTTGTCTTTTTTTCTTTTTCTTTTTCTTTTGGTTATTTTGTCTCTCACAAAGCTGTAGCTATTCTGATACTCACTATATATACACAAAGCTGGCCTGGAACTCAGAGATCCACCTGCCTCTGCCTCTCTAGTGCTGGGATTAAATGCTTGCACCACCATACCCTGCTTATTTCTGAAGACAGGCTAACACTCTTTTGAAGTTAAACTCTGAATAAAGCAGTTAGAAAAGATTGAAGGTTTTGGATTTAGTTGTTATGGATAGCCTGTGATCCATTGCTTTTAGTGTACTCCCGACATGTTTAGGTTAGCAGAGATATGTGACATAAGAGTTCTCTGAAATCTCCCTAACTGCTTGAGAGCAAATGTTTTCATTTCTACCAAAGGATTGGTCTTTGTCCTGGCAGTCACAGATCAAGGGTAACAAGCCCCAAGAATCTCTTTGTTTTGGGTATGGTAATATAGCACTTGGGAGGTAGAGGCAGGTGAGTCTCTGAGGACAAGGATCTCTCTCTCTATAAGGTATTCGAAACCAGCCAGATCTACACAGTGAGACCCTGTCCCCTTTCTTCCCACTCCTCCCAAATCTTGAATAGGCATAGATAAAGCATTCTTAGTTTGTCCACTCTACTATTTCAGCTGTTACCTTTATTTGTACCTTTTCCCATTTGCCAATCAGGATGCTAGGATAGCTAGACGTTAGCAAGCTTAGAATGAAAAAAGTGTTAAATCCCAGGGTTGTGCTTGTTGTCTTTAATAGTTTGTACCCAACCTCCTGAAACAGAAAGGGTGGTTTTACAAGTACTACCTGAGGAGGCAAATGGGGAAGGTCATTACGGATGCCACTGTGACTGCATGTCTTACAGGAACCAATTCAAAACTGGGGTTCCTGTTTTCTGTATTGAAATGTCTTCGTACAGGAGAATGGCATACTCTCTCTGTGTTCTGTGGAGCCGATCAATCATTCATACAAGCTATCTACTGTAAAGTAGGAATGCTTTGTTCTGCGAATCAGACCTCTTAGGTTTGGAAAGGAGACCTGTTCAATGGAATTATAATCACATAACTTTCACTTTCATGCTATAGAGAAAAGACTTTAGGAAATTTTTTGAGATTATTTTCTTTGAAATACCTGGATAATAAAGTACATTCAGTGCTTTATATTTTATTTTTTCTGTATTTCGCTGCCCTGCATTTGTTTTTACCCTCCCTCTCTCTCTCCCTCCCTCTTCCTTCTTCCTTCTTTTTTGATTTTTTTGAGACAGGGTTTCTCTGTATTGCTTTGGAGCCTGACCTGGAACTTTCTTAGTAGACCAGGCTGCTCTCAAACTCACAGAGATCCTCCTGCCTCTGCCTCCCAAGTGATAGGATTAAAGGTGTGCATCACCAGCACCCAGCTGCCCTGCATTTCTTAAAAGTATGAATCTGTGTTTAAAAATGAGCTGGGCTTGGTGGTGCAACTCTTTAAACCCAGCACTTAAGGGACAAAGGCAGGTTTGTCTCAAAATCCAGGCTGGCTTTGTACATATAGTGAGTTTCAGGATAGCCAGAGCTAAGTAGAGAAACCCTGTCTCCAAAACCCAAAGATGAAGAAGAGGAGGAGGAGGAAGAATTTACAACCAATTGAAAAATTGTAATTAAGATTAGTATAGTCAGATTCTTGACGATGGAACAGATAATTTAGAATTAAAGTGGATTTTAGAGAACACCGGGTTTATTTTACTAGAAGTTGGGAAATTAAGAGCTCTGAGGACCACAATATGTGTCGATGTATGCTTCTGTTTCTTTGCATTGTGGTGTTGACTTTTCTTTCAATAGGTGATACTATGCTTATTTGAAATTCGCACTAGTAATAAATTTTTGAGTTATTGCCTTGAAACTAAAGACATAATGCCAGACTACATGTAAATCACCTGGCCTTCCTTTTTAGAAATTATTCATAAACTGCAGTCATTGTATCTGATATGAAGGGCATCTTTTAAGAAAAGCTTGATCTCGCAGACACTGCATATTTGCTTTTCTCTGTATTAAATGGATACATATCGGTCATCGTATGCCACCAACATTATGACTGTTCTTTTATCAAGAAACTGGTATTTGATATGGGGAATGCCTGGGTTAGATCAGTTGACATCTTAAAAATAAAAGGCACATGATGGAAGAGAAATAGAAAAAGATACAGTTCAGTCAGACTCAATAACTTACATTATATACATATACTTTTATAATTTGCATTGGATTGGTGTTAGATTTGTTTGGAAATACTAGAGTTGTAATTGTCATTTTGTCATGGCTCTAGTTTCTAAAACTTTCTTGTATTGTGAAGTCACTAAAACCAGGCAACAGGTAGCCTAGGATAGTTTGGAATTCAGAAACAATTGTGGACTGTCTAATCAAATGGGAAGTTTGGCTTGAGCTTGAAGGGGGCCATCTGGATTGCTGCTAAGGATGAGGCAACGCAAAAAGGTAAGGAAAGGTCTGTAAATTAGATGAGGGTACATAGGTAAGTCACACACCTGGGCTCAGTTCAGAATGGGATTTATTGTGCTTTGTTTTATTTGTTATCATCCAATTAAGTTCTTTTCCTCCCAGCACTTGGGAGGCAGAGGCAGGTGGATCTCTGATTTCCAGGACAGCCTGGGCTACACAGAGAAACCTTATCTCACCCCCACCTCCAAAAGTTAAATTTCTTATGTGACCATTATCTCAAAGGTATTATGCTAATTTGTTAAAAGGGAATAAGATAAAAGCAACTCAAAGCCTTACTTTCCGAAAGGCAGAATGATCAGGATGGAATTGGTGTACTTAGATTTTTAGTTACATTTATTTTGTTTTCAAGTAAATGGCCTTTTAAAAACAGACAGAACCTCAAGGGAGTCCACCATTTGTACTTTGACTTGAGGCAACTTCAACTTTGTTGCACTTGGTTTATGTAGACTCTCAGTATGTGCCTGGACAACATTGCACTTGTGATAGCCTTGCCTTCATTTCAGCCTTGAGCCATGATAACTGGCTTCCCATTAGTAGTATTTAAAAATTGTTCTTTGGCAGTTTCACTTGCACACTTCTATGATCATATCTCCCTTCCCTGTTGTCCTGTGATATTCACCCTTCCTCCAGACCTCCTCTTCACAATGCCATTATTTGATAAGAGAACAATGCATTTACATTATAGGCGGTTGTTTTCAGCAATGAAGCAGAATGAACTTAACTAGAATGACTGAGTAAATTGTGGGTTTAAATTGCTTGTAATTGAAAGCTTATATGCTAAACTAATAAATACTTAAGTAAAGAATATAATTACTTTGTAAGTGTTGGCACGTTTTTTTTTTTTGTGGTATACTTCTATACTGTTTTAATTTTTGTTTTAAATCCTTCTCTTCCTGTAGGAGATAAAGATGGCAGCAAGGTGACCACAGTAGTGGCAACTCCTGGACAGGGCCCTGACAGACCACAGGAAGTCAGCTATACAGACACTAAAGTGATTGGAAATGGATCATTTGGTGTGGTGTACCAAGCCAAACTTTGTGATTCAGGAGAACTGGTTGCCATCAAGAAAGTTTTGCAGGACAAGCGATTTAAGGTAAAACCTGGTGTTTATATCTTTGTTACTATATATTAATAAATATTTTGCAGGCTGGAAAGATGGCTTGGTGGTTAAGAGCACTAACTCTTTTCCCAGAAGACCTTGGTTCGATTCCCAGCACCCACATGGGAGCTAACAACTGTCTGTAACTCCAAGTCCTGACACCCTCACACTGGCATACATGCAGGGAAAATGCCAATGTACATAAAATAAGAATAAATAAATTATATTGCTCTTAACCACTGAGCTATATCCTTTCCTTTCCTTTTCTGTTCTCTGCCCCTCCCCTCCTCCTTCCCTCATCTGGCCTTTCCCTCTCCTTTCCCTTTCCTTCCATTTTCCTTCCCTTCCTATGTATATACAGCCCAGCCTTCTCTGAAACTCACCATCCTCCTGTGGTCGAACCTGCTCAGGGCTGCGATTACATGTACAGATCACAACTGACTTGGATTTAATTTTTTTACTGATTTGTTTTGTCACTAAATAATGTACTTCCTAAGTGATGAGAACCACTTTGTGATCATTTCTTGTTTTACTATCTTGTTAAATCTCTCTATCTTACTACCAAAATAGGTGAGGCCAAAAATAAAATTTTCTCTGTTGATCAATTTATTTTATCATGTAATAATAATTTCTCTTACAATTTAAGGCTGTGTCATTTAATATGAGGAACTTATATAACTCAGGAATTTATATAATCTGCTTACGGAAATAGGAAATAATTAGGTATGTCTAGAGGAAAGACTGAATAGATAACTAACTGCATTTCCTCTGTTCTGCACCCCTCCCATTGTTCCATGACACAGTTAAAAAATTGTTTTGTAAGGGAGTGTCTGTGGTATGGGAGTAAACTTCAACTAGCTACCTGATTGATGTAGGAGTTCTTTAATATTAAAACAGGCAGTAGGTCAGTCAGTCCTGAAAAATGACTTTTGGTGTTTGAACATGGTTTTTACAATTTGAGTATCAGTAAGTGTATTTTAAATTAGTGGTCTTAGTTTCATTAACTATTAATTTTCCTTTGCACTGAGTCGTAGGTTTCAAGTCTCCTATTTGGTTTCATTTGTGATTGGGATAAAGAGAAAATAGTGGATGTGAAGTCAGTACTGTTTTATTGTGAATGTGCACTCCTGTGTATAACATATTTTAAGGATAAGGAGAGATAGTATTCTTAGGGATTTGAATTACTATATCCTGGAGCTCTCATGGGATTTTGCCAAATAAAATGGCACAGATTAGTAAATTGGATTAGAAAACAATTTCTTTTGATGCTTCCAAATATACATTGTCATCAACAACTGATACCACATTAGAGTAAACTGATAGGGAAAGGTTTTGTAAGCAGATGGAAATAAAAAAAACAAATAGGTATAGGTATTCTGATATTTGACAGTACACTTCCAACTAATCAGAAGAGATGAGGAAAATCAAGAGGGTGTTATAATTTTAAATATGCACCCAAATGAATAAAAAACTCAACTTCATTAAAAACACTTAGTAGAGCTAAAAACCACAGTTATCCTAATAACTACTGAATGGTAATTGAGTCAAAGGAGAAATCAAGAAGGAAATTTAAAAATATATGACCCACTAAACTATAAATGAATACATTTCCAGATGACCTATAATGTTAAATCAAAGTGTATAGTTTTAAAGAGACCCATAAAAACCAATGAGATAGAAGCATCAATTAAAAACCTCCCCAATAGGAAAAAAAAAAATCTATGGGTTCATTTTAGAATTTTACCAGACCTTCAAAGAAGAAAAACTAATGTCAAAATGTTAGGCAGATTATTTATAAAATAGATGAGGAAAGAGTAGTTCCACATTCTTTTTACAATGTTAGTGTTACCTCAATACCAGATAAATATCCAGCAGAAAAAGAAAACTATAAATTTAATTTCTTATATAAGATGAATATGGATACAAAAACTTCCAATAAAACCTTTGTATATGGTCTTAGTCACTGGTCTATTGCTGTGAAGACACAAGGCAACCGAGCAACTCTTTATTTTGTTTTGTTTTTCAAGACAGGGTTTCTCTGTGTAGCCTTGGCTGTCCTGGAACTCACTTTGTAGACCAGACAGGCCTTGAACTCAGAGATTATTCTGCATCTGCCTCCCAAGTGCTGGGATTAAAGGTGTGCTTGTTTGGCTTATATGTCTGCATGCCTTGGTGCTAGAACCACAGCCCAGCCCAGAAGTCTTGTGCTGTTCAGGAGGTGCATCTTGGCCTGTTGGAGCAGCATGTTGTCAGTACTGAATTCTTAATTTTGGTCAAATAGCGTTAGACTGTGTTACGTTTTGTTGATACACAGACTGTACCTTTATTTATTTATTTATTTATTTATGGCTGTTGGGAGCAATGAATGTTTTTAGTTAATTTACACACACACATGTGGAATTTCTGGATCACATGGTGATTCTTTGATTAAAATCTTGAGGGAATGATAACCTGTCCCATAATAGTTTTGTGAGTGCTGTAATTTCTGCACTTAACTTGAAAACACTTGCTGTTATCTAGTAGTATTTATTCTAAAGTAAACTAGAGAATGTGATGTTTCATTCTCTTTCTCCTTTGTCCTTACACAAACAGCATATGTGTTTTGCTCACACATATCCAGAGTGTCTATATTTCATACACATTTTGTGTATTTCTAGTTTCCTTTGCTTCCCATTTAATTGAGCAGGCTTGCTTACAGTATCACATGTTCAGTCCATTATCATGGAGGGGAGTGTGGCAGCTTGCAGGCAGATGTCATGCTGAGAGATGTACATCTTGCACGCACTAGGAAGTTGAACTAACTAACACACTGGGAATTATTCTGAGCTTAAGAAACCTCAGTGCCTGCCCCTACAGTGACACATTTCCTCTAACAAGGCCATACCCACCCCAGCAAAGCCACACTTCCAAATAGTGCCATGCCCTATGTGATTATGAGGGCCAAATACATTCAAACTACCCAGTGTACCAAGCTGAACTTCCCCCTCCTACTTCCTGAAGACCTTTCCACTGTGTCAGTAGCCATAGAGTAAAAAGCCTGGAAGATGGTCTTCTTTTCCACTTAGCAGTTGTTAATCTGCCTCTCAGTCCTTGTGTTTCTCTTCACTGCAGTCCCGGGTTTCTTTCCTCCCCTCATCCCTTATATAACCTCTTTCATAGCTGGCAATCTTCCCAAAACAAATCTCTTACTCAGAACATACTCGTGGTTCTTAGTCGTGGCTCTCGATATTATTTAGAAATGTTATCTTTGTATATAAGATGTTTTGCCTGCCAGGCTTGCAAAACATCTTACAAAGTAGCAAGTAGGATTTCTCTTTTCTCCTTGTCTTAATTACTTTTCTATCTCTGTGATAAGATACCATGACTAAGGCAATGTATAGAAGAAAGAGTTTATGCGGAACTTACAGATTAGAGGGTTAGAGTCCGTGACTATCATGGAGGGGAGCATGGCAGCAGGCAGGTGTGATACTGAGAGCTCGAATCTTGATCCGATCCACAAGCACAGGTAGAGAGAAAGCTAAGTGGGAATGGCATGAACATTTGAAACCTCAAAGGCCACCCTCAGTCTCAGTGGCACATGTCTTCCAAGGCCACAGGTCCTAATTTTTCCCAGACAGTCATCAAACACAAGCTCCTGGGTGCCATATCATTCAGACCACACGCCTGTGCTGGCTCACATACAATACAGCAGTGAGCTAATGTCAGTCACCTGTGTTGGAAGCTTTGGTTTGCCTGCTTGTAGCATATCATTTTTCAGGCAGAGACCCTTAGTTCTGACATATAATTAGTTGAGTAGAAAATAATGTGTTGTATACCTGGAGTTATACTGAGATTTTTTTTTTAAAGGCCATTTGTAGAGTGTTTGTTGAACATCTGATGTTTGTGGAACATCTGATTTTACTATGGAATCAAAGATTTAGACAGGGATTAAACTGATTCAGTCCTTTGGATAATATCTTTTTTTTTAAACAAGTTATATTTGGAGAAGGTAGTCTTTTATTTTATTTTTTATTCATTTTACATACAAACCACAGTTACCCCTGCTTACCCTCCTCCCCTCCCACCCACTCATCAAAAAGGGTATGGCTTCCCATGGGGAGTCAATAAAGCCTGGCACATTCATTAACTTGAGGCAGGACCAACCCCTTCCCCCACTCCAGGTAGTCTTATCTTTGAGGTGGCTCCTGCTTTGCTGCAGCAGCAGAGTTTTCTGTGAGAGGGAAAATGTCTGCCAATAGAACAAACTTTGGTGAAGAAGAAAAGATGATCGACAGACACATGCTGCCTACTTTACACCCACAGTTGCAAGCTTGCTGGATGTTTCCTCACCTGAAAGTTAACTTCCTCCAGGTTTTACATAATGGTTCCTAAGTCCCCTTCCAGGAATCCTTGGCTCTATCTATCTGGCTTGCCTTTCAGAAGCAAGCCAGATTACCCCCCCCCAACACACACACACACACACACACAGAGACAGACATCAGATATTGTAAAAATGAACAAAATCCTTTGTCTATTTGTTAGTTTTGGTTGCCCTAACAGAAACACAGAAGTCACATAAAAGAAGGGAAGACTTTGGCTTATGGTTTAAGCAGGTTCTATTGTTCTAGGCCTGTGGCTGGATAATTCAGCACAAGAGTGTAATGGAGCAGAACTGATCATCTGGAAGCAGAAAGATTGCAGGAACAGGCTGAGGACGAGTGCACCGTCCAAGGACATACTCTCAGAGAGCACCTTTTCCCAACTATCCCCTTCCCAAACATAATAGACCCTTAGGATTCAGTCACTCTTAGTGATTGGATTTACCAGCTGTGGATCAAGGATATGATATACATCTCCATCTCTAAACCATAACAGTCCTTTTAGAGATGTATTTGAATGGTTCTTTATTATAATTTCTATACCGAGAAATTATATCTTGAGTAACTAGCTTTTTTACATGCTTATTACAATTGTAAGTCTTTATTTTATATGTAAGATTCTTCTTGTCTTCCCTC